TGAGAGAAGTTGGTCCATTGTTTGTGACGTCAAAATTTTCCGGTGCATCACTTGGCACTACATCAAGAAATAGTAAGTAAATGCATCATCAAAGCAGTACATAAAACTTACCATCTTCCGCTGTCACAACAGTAATTGGATTGCTATATGGTCCATTGCCAATAGTGAAAGCAGCCACTCTCACTCTGTATTGAGTAAATGGGGTGAGCATGGCTATTGTAAGGTTAGGATTAGTTGTAGTTAGGATTTCTTCTGATCCAGTGACAGCATTGGTAATGGAGACTTTATAATGACGAATGACACCATTGGTTGTACTTTGATTTAGAGGTGACCATGAGACAGTTATAGCTGTAGAATTAATTACTGTAGACATTACAGATGATGGTGAAGCAGAGGGAACTGTGTACATTAAAAATAAAACTATCACATCTGATGCATCAAACATTTTAACTTACTATCTTCCTCAGTATTAAAGAAGACATATTCAGAGTCCGGACCCATGGAAGTTGTAGCAGCCGCCACGTGACAGCGATAAGTATTATTTGGAGTGAGATCGGTAATAATGACATATGTCAAGTTACTAGTCTCTTGTATTACAACATTGCCAGTTTCTTCATCAGTTATGCTAATATGATATGCTGTGATCTCACCATTAGGATTAGCAGGAGGCTCCCAACCTAACAGTATACTTGATGGACTGATGGCAGTAGCTCTTAAACGACGAGGCCGACTGGGAGCTAGTTATGATAATAAACTATTATGCAAATATTTCATTAGTATTGCTAACCTGATTGATTAGTTTTTATCAGTATTGGTAAAGTAAAAGGACCAGTTCCGTTAGCATTTCTAGCAGCAACACTCAGACTGTATGTTGTGTCTGGTTCCAAGTCATTAACACTGAAATCATTATTACCAGTAGTAAACTGTGTCGTAATTAGCGTGTCAGTATTAGTAACATTAATAATGTAGCCATTGATATCGCCATTCCTGTCTTCTTCGCTAGGAGGGTTCCAGCTAATATTGAGGCCAGTAGCTGTTGCTGATGTAATACTTAGTGACTGAGGTATTCCACTTGGTACTGTCAAAGAAAATGTAATAATTACACAACATACAGTGTCTTACCATCATCAGGCATGGTGATACTTATAGGCTCACTGAAAGGACCTCTACCATTAGTAAAGGCAGCAACTGAGACATTGTATGTAGTTGATGGCTGAAGAGAGTCAATTGTGATGTTCCTATCGCATGTCTTATAAGTATACGTTTCTTCTTTAGTAGTGACTAAAACTTCGTAGTATATGATAATGCCGTTACGATCTGATAATGGTATTAAACCCCACTGAATAAATAGTGTCCTGGAATTAATAAAGATGAATTTAATGTCTACAGGAGCACTTGAAGGAGCTTTTAAAAATAAAAATAATGTAAATGTCCATGAAACAATGACTAACCATCTTCTGGTGTTGTGATTTTAATAGTAATTGAATATGGACCCATTCCAGCATTGTTTCTAA